CCACCCAGGGTCCTCTGCACGGGCCCTCCCATCCCCTAGGTGCCACGCGGCCCCCTCACCACAGGGACTCCAGCTGGCAGCCCGGCTGCAGCAGGCTCTCGCACAGCAGCCGGGCGCTCTCGTCACCCAGACTGTTGCCCGCCAGACTCAGCTCCTTCAGGGTCTCCTTGGCCTGGAGAATGCGGCAGAGGTCTCTGCAGCCACTGGCAGTGATGTCACACTCCCAGAGCCTACGGAGGTGAGTCCCCCGTCAGCACAGAGAGGCTCCCAACGCGTCCTGCCGCCCCCAGGTTTTTGTCTGCCCGGCCAGAGGCCGGCTCACCAGAGGGTCTTGAGCTGGGAGCCGGGGCTCAGCAGCCCAGGGCACAGCTCCGCGATGCCTGCGTCGCCCAGCGGGTTGCTGCCCAGGTCCAGCTCGTTCAGTGAGGCCTGGGAGGCCACGATCCCACAAAGGTCCTTACAGTTGGCTGGCGTGAGGCCGCAGTTCTCCAGCCTGGGGGCACGAGAGGCGCTGGGAGCTGGGGCGCCCCCCCCCAGCCCCCGCCCTGCCCCCCAGCCCCAGCCCAGAGCTTACTTGAGTGTCTCCAACTGGCAGGCGGAGTCCGCCAGGCCCAGGCACAGCTCCCGGATGCCAGCCTCGCCCATGTCGTTATTGCTCACCACGAGCTCCTTCAGGTCCCGTGTGGCCCTGAGCACCGCGGCCAGGGGCTCACAGGCTGCAGCCGTCAGGTTGCAGTACTCCAGCCTGGGGGCGGGCGGGCAGTCAGCCCCTCGGCTGCAGGAACGCCGCCTGGCCCAGGGGGCACCTGTCTGGGTCTCCTTTCCCACCCCAGCCATGAGGCCTGCAGAGACCGGACGGCTGCCTGGCGGTGACAGCATGGAAGTGGCCGAGGGGCCATCACCCCGGGTGGCGGGTACCCAGAGACCCACAGGAGAAAGACACCCAGCCTGAGCTGGGGCCTTCCGGCTCGGCTTCCTCCCTCTGTGGCTGACCCCGTCTGTGTGCTCACTCGGGGTCACAGGCCAGCTACCAGCTGCTTTCAGAGGCCACAGCCCCAGCCTCGGGGAAGAGTCCCTCCTCGAAGCTCCCTGCAGCCGATGAGCTGGAGAGGGGGCTTGCCCAGGGAAGACAGCCGAAACCCAGGGGACGGGTGGGCGCGGGCACCTCGGGGCCCCGGGTGGGGTGCACACTCACTGCAGCTTCTCCAGGTGGCACTGCGGGTCCAGGAGCCCCTCGCAGAGCAGCTGCAGGCCAGCGTCGCCCAGCGGGTTGTCGCTGAGGTGCAGCTCCTGCAGGGTGGGCAGAGAGCGCAGCACACCGGGCAGGACCCCGCAGCCGGCCTCCGTCAGGCAGCAGTTCTGGAGGCTGGACACACGTGGCCGTCAGCGGGCACCACGAGCCGGCTGCGGCTCCCACGCAAGACGAGCCACCCCTCCGTCTGCCGGAGCCCAAGCAAGGAGGACACAGAACTGCCGCCACCACACACACCCCCACGGGGGAGGCCAGGCAGCCGGCCTTGCAGGAGGAGACGCGGGGTGGGGGCCGCGAGAGGGCTCAGGTGTGCCTCAGGGCCCAGAGCCCAGGAGTGACCGGCACGGCTCACCTGAGCTTCTGTATCTTGCAGGTGGGGCTCTGCAGGCCCTGGAGCACCAGGTGCACGCCGCTGTCGCCCAGCTCATTGGTGCGGAGGCTGAGCTCCGTCAGGGAGGGGTTGGCCCGGAGCGCAGAACCGATGTCCTTGCACCGCACCTCCGTGAGGCCACAGTCATCCAGCCTGCAGACAGACACTCAGTCACTTCACACAGCAGGTTGTGATCCGTTCTTGGGCCAAGAACTCGACGAGGTGGGTCACAACCAACACATCTTAAAATGAAAGAGAAAAAGCGCGTGGATCGTCTCGTGAAAACTGTTAAGACACTGGCACCTATACGGACGCGTATCTCCGCATCTTCCCCGGGACACGGTCGGGGGCACGAGTGCCCCTCCACCCCTAGGAGAGAAACCAAACCTGGAGGCGGCAGCTCGAGGGCAGAGCCCGGCTGAAGAGGCTTGGAGAGGCCAGTGTGGAACGTGCCAGACCCTGACCCAGGATCACGTCCACCGATGAAGTGAACCATTGAGTCAATACAGGTGGAAGGAAAGCCAGCTCTTCCTCAGAGAATGACAAGTGATAAATGTGGAAGGAATGAAAAAATTAAAAACCCCAGTGAGGCAGAGTCCCAGGAACACTTCAGGCCAAAAACCCACCAACAGCTGCGAAGATCAACAGGCAAAAAGTCCGAGCAGAAACAGGATGTGAGCAGAGTCTGAAGGGGTGTCACCCTGAGAAGTGGCAGGCACCCGCACCAGGTGGTCACAGCGACCATTAGGGGTGACCACGTGGCACCGCTGTGACAACACCTCCCACGATATGATACGCCAGGCAGGACACAACATCATTTCTGTGTTGTCTGGCCAAAACGTATGACTCAACCCTGAGAAGACGTCAGAGGCACTTTCACCTGAGCCCGAGTGAGCGGACCCCGGAGTCAGGCGGCCAAGGACAAGGAGGGACGGAGGGACCATCACGGACAGGAGGGGCCGTGGCGACGATGCCGTGGCGGGTCCCGCACGAGCCGGGAACAGGAGAGGACACGCACGGAAAAGCCGGTGACGTAAGTCAAGGCGGCTGTGTCGGGCTGTTCGCTTTGACCAGCGCCCCAGGCAACGGGGCACGGGGGACCCTGCACTGTCTTTGTGACTCTTCCATAAACCTTCCATAAAACTATTTCAAATAAGTTCAAAAGAAGAAAGATAAGCAGGGACTTGATACGGGGAGGGGGAGGGGGAGCTGGGACAAAGCAAGAGAGTGGCGTGGACATATATACACTACCAGATGTAAGGTAGATAGCTAGTGGGAAGCAGCCGCATAGCACAGGGAGATCAGCTCGGTGCTTTGTGACCACCTAGAGGGGTGGGATAGGGAGGGTGGGAGGGAGACACAAGAGGGAGGGGATATGGGGATAGATGTATACATATAGCTGATTCACTTTGTTATACAGCAGAAACTAGCACACCATTGTAAAGCAATTATACTCCAATAAAGATGTTAAAAAAAAAAAGTAAAATGACACATGTAAGAAGTTATTTATTATAGCATTGTTTGTAATAGCAAAAGGTTAGAAGCAATTAATTGCTATGGAGCCCTAATAAGAAAAAAAAGTGGCTCTAAATGCCTGGGTAAGATTTCCAAAATAGATTAAGGGAAAAAGGAAGGTTATACAACAAAGTGAAGCCTACGCTGCTATTGCTATTTGTCTAAAACAGAGGGGAAAAGAATTGGAAATCTGCTAACCTCGCCCTTGCCACTCCGCCGCACACGCCGTCCTTCGGAGAGCTCACCACTCCTCAGGGTACCCTTCGGGCACTGCACCTTCTTAAACGCTGTTCCCACTGCTCCTCCTCCCAGCCCTCGCCTGCCTGCTCGCCCTTCCCGAGATATTCATGCATACACACACTTCCTTGTATCAGAAACACAAATGGCATATGCTGTGCGTGCCGTTCTGCACTTTTTTTACTTAATACATACTTGCACGTAAAGGGCTGGTGTCTCATTCTCATTCTAGTTTATAACCATATGCTTCTCCGTTGAACGGATAAATCATAACTTATTCAATCAGTCCCCTATTAATGGATATTTCCATTGTTTCCTGTCTTTTGCTATTAAAAATAACGCTGTAATGAACATTCTTGTGCATATGTTATTTCACATTGTATCTACGGAATTATACCTGTGGGCGAAATTCTTAGAAACAAGGGTAGTTGATGCGGAGGGCAACAGAGTGGACTGGGCACAGGACTGAGACTTTTCACTGTATTCCCTTTTGTGTCTTTTCAAATTTTGTACCATATGTCTTACCTATTCAAAAATAAAATATTTTTTAAATCCAAAAAAAAAAAAAGATAAGCAGGCAGGCACTCATCTCTCGCTCGTGAGCCCTGAGGAATCTGCAGGTTTGAGGGCCTCAACAGCAGAAGTCAGCCTGGACTTGGATTCCCAGCCCGCAGCCCGGCAGGGGCAGAGGACAGGCAGTGGCCACACGAGCCGGCTGCGGTGACTGCATGCCCAGGGGAAGGGGACGAGCGGAGGAGACCCTGGGCCAGGTTGCTCTGCCCGCCAGGCCTGGGCCAGAATGGGTCTACATTCGAATGGTTGGAAAAAAATACAAAGGGAGTCACATTGTATGCCACGTGAAAATCATACAAAATTTACATCACGCTTCTGTACGTGAAGTGACCTGGGAGCGTCCCTCACCCCCTGCGGGGTGATGATCCCGGGGGCGCAGGCACAGCTGGTCCTACCTGACCACCTCGTACTGCTGGATCAGAGGCAGGAGCTCTGTCCACCGGGCGTCACTCAGCTGCTCACACTGGATGTCGAGCTTCATGGTGAGAGGCGAGGTGTTGCCTAGACACAGGCAGGGGGGAGAGGATTTCAGCCAAACTCTCAGGGTCTCTGACAGGCCAGGGATGCGGTGGGCGGGAGACGTGCACACAGGGCCGCAGGGGCATCCAGGAGAAGCCACAGCCTCACCGCCTGCTTCGTGTCCCTTTCTCAACACCTTTATCCACGTCAGCCTCCAGGAGCAGAAATGGGAGAGGGCTCCCAGGCAGACTGCCACGGACCGCAGAGCTGGGGGACGTGGCCGCGGGGACAGAGGCTGCTCTCACCCCCCAGCCTCCCGGGCGCCTCCCACCCGAGGAAGGGGAGGCCGGCGCTCACCGCCCGAAGCCCTGCCTCTGCCTTGCCAGCAAGGACAGGGCGGGGGGCGGGGGGTGGCGCCTGTGGGCCCAGGCGGGGTGCAGACCCCAGCCAGGAGAGCGCAGGGACCCCAATCTGCGACTTCTCCCCTCCGAGAACAGGAAGGCAGCGCACAGCCCCACCTGGCTGGCATCCACAAAGCCAGACCCGCCCAGGATGCCAGCACCTGAGGCCTCACTGCCCTGAAGCAGCCCTGTCAGGTGGTCAGCTAGCAGTTCCTGGGGGTGCCAGCCACAAGTGTCCTGGCCAGGACAGAGAAGGTGGGGTGGAGACCCCAGGTCCAGGGACCTGCGCTCTGGATGGTGCATTCATGGTTGGCCACCCGGGGTGCCTGTTTCCATGAGCCCCTTCTAGGCCTGGGACTCTGGACAGGGCACGTCCTCTGCCCAACCCCGGCTCAGCCCAGGGACCAGCCCACAAAGAAGCCAGTTCACCAAGCAGGCTGAGAAAAGAGGGAGGCCTCTGGCCAGCAGGTCTGGGATGGGAGGTCACAGGCCCTGAAGCCTCACCAGGGCCACACACAGAGCCTGAACAAATGAGTAACCAGAGCCCCGGGCGGGTGCCCGACTGTGGCCCTGACCGGGGGGGCGGGGGGGGGGCAGCAGGAGAGGAACCCAGCGGCAGCCATGAGCCGGGGGGGGCCCAGGAGTTGGGCAGGGAGCGGGCTTTCAGTCAAGAGCCACAGGAAGTTCAGTAAACACCCGCGCCTGGAAGCCATGCCTTTCCAGGCCTCTGGAGACAGGATGACTCAGACCCATGTGAGGTTCCCTGTTCTCCGAAACCCCCAGATTCCTGAGAACAATGATTCACTCGTGTTTGTGTCCGTGCCTGGCACAGCCCCGGCCTTGCTGAAGAGGGCATGCCCCCTGCCGGCCCCCGGCTGGTTCAAGCCCACAGCAGGAAGGAGGGCCAGCCCAGGCAAAGGCTCTAGGTACATTCCTCCTGGGAGGCCCCTCGTGCCAATGATCAGGTAAGATTCGGATTCACGTGTGCACGTCCCAGCAGAGGGGCCTACTAAGAAACTGAGGCGAGGGCACGGGTAACTGGCCACTTCCCGTACCATCCCAGGGAGGGGCCGCCCAGCCCACTGGCCAGAGCACGTGAGCAAAACCCGGCCTGCCACCCACCCCCAGCCCAGGGTGTGGCCACCCAAACCCTGACTCAGAAACCTCAGTCATCGCGGGAGAGGGATCAGGGGAGGGGCCCCTGAGGATCTCCAGCCCCGAAACCGCTCCCCCGGCTGCTCCCTCCCGGAATCCAGTGTGACATTAGGGGACTCGCCTCTCCAGAGTAGGAAACTGATACCCGGCAGCTGCGCCCCCCAAGCCCCCAGACTTGACTAGACCCAGAGTATCCCTTTGGTTGACCTGTGGGCGTCTTAGCCTCCAGAGGACACGGATTCCTTTGAGAACCCATGAAAAAGTGTTAACATCCCGCAAAGTTGCCGCGTGTACAGCCTTCCTCACAAGCCCCCAGTCAGGGTGCCTGATCTGGACAGGAACAAGCACATGTCCGGCCCACGGCCTCCCTGGCAATCAGGACCCCCACCAGCTGGGCTGCTCCCCAGGCCCCAAGTCGCGGGTCCAGGATCTCAACAACGGCCCCTAATTAATGCTTCCAAGTGCGGGGACAGGCCGCTGCGCAAGGCCGTGCCGGAAGACAGGAGGTGCGTCTTCAACGCCTCAGCCCGGGCCTTCCCTGGAGCGGGGCCCGCGGCCCGCCCCGCGCTACCGGCGCAGCTTGGTTACCTCTGCGAGGCGCGGGAGGTGGCAGGAGGCAGGGGCGCGCCGGGGTCCGCGCGGGGCAGCCCGCCGCCGCTGCCGCCGCCCCCCACGCCCGCCCGAGGCTCCGCATGTGTCCGGGGGTCGGGGGTTGGAGGTCAGCGCTGGGTCGGGCCGGGGCCTCTCCAGGGAGAGGCGGGCCGCTCAGAAGCCGCGCTGAGAAGGCTCCCCGCGCCCCCGGCCCCCGCACTTTCTCGGGCCCGGGGACCGTCCGCCACGCGGTCAGCGGCTGGGGGACCCCCAAAACGCCGCGGGGCCGCCGCGCCCCCCTCCCCGGCCCGCTCCCGCTCCGCCTCGAACCCGTACCTCACCTCCGGGGCCTCCACCGCAGACCAGAGAGCAGAGCTGCGTCTTCCGCCCGGGCAGGGGGTGGGGTCACGTCCTGGGGCGGGGCCTTGGAATGTGGGGGCCGGGCGGGCCCAGAGCCCCGCGCCAGGTCGCCCTCGCCCACCGAACCCCGGCTGGAGGACACTAGACCCCGGTAGGGGCACGCCCGACATCCCTCCATCAGTCCCCGGCTTGGCCCCGGGTCTTTTTCTGAGACGCGCGCCGAGCCTACGCCCACAGTTAAGCCTTCGCCGCTTTCCGCTGAACTCCGGGGTAAAAGTTGACGTCCCAGTTTGATTTTCCACTTTGTCGCCCAGAACGGGGGCAGGCCACCTTGCGAGGAGGGGGCGCCAGGCGGAGATGCGGGCGCAGGCGCGGGGAGCCCCGACCACCCGCAAGGAGACAGGCTGTCGGGGCTTTCTCTGCGCCCTCCCACCAGCAGGCAGGACGTGGGAGTTTCCCAAAGCACAGAAATCGAATACCTGAGACACTTCTTTTTGCTGCCACACAGGAAAAGATGGAAACTATCTGTCTTGGCTGTGCAGAAATGCGTCAGTGTGTAAGCAAATACGGTAGGTTTCCTGGGGGAGAGAACCAGGCATGGCTTTCTTAACAGAAGCCATTTTTTGGCCTAAGCCGTTTTGTGATCTAAGCTGGGCCACAATGCTTTGCCCTTGAACAGGTCTCAGTAATTGATGATCTTAAGGGAACAGAAGAACGCAGAAACAAACGACTGTAACCAGACAAGAGAAGTAACAACAGCAAAGATAGCGTTCCAGTTGCAAAAACTCCCGGTTCTGTTTCCATGGTGACGATTAGCCTGCAGCCGCAACCACCAGACCTACCAGAAACTAAGGGGTGAAGATGACCTCTTCTGACCCTCCTGACTTCAATCAAATGAACCCTGGACTCTGCGGGGAGACACTGCTTTGGAAAAGATCCCCAGTGTTCCCCTTACTTGCAGCAAGAAATCAATCCTTCCTTTCGGGATCTTTGGCTTGGCTGTGTCTTTTGGCTCAACACTCACCACAAGGCGAAGTGTTTTTCGGGTAACAAGCATGGCATTTGGCTTAATGTAAAACACTACACACCCCTGCATTTCTGTGTATCGATCAAGAGGAATATTCATGCATGAGCTTACGAGACATGTTTAAAATGTCTTTTTGCAGCATTTTGCAACTGTCCAAACCTGGAAACAATCTAAATGTCTACCAGTAGGAAGATGGTTAAAGGCTTCATAACACACCTGTTTTGCGCCCCTCTTGGCCTAGCCATAACCAGTGTCGTGGCTGGACTTGCCCTTGTGATTGCAAGGCAGCCTTCAACAAAGACCATTAGGAAGCTTTGGGGGAAAAAAAAAAAGGTTTATTACTCACATGTGTTGGAATGCACATGGCATACCTGGGGCCACAGAGTGAGGTGGGGAGAGGGTGGGGGGTTGGGGGCAGGTGGCTAGGGTTCTGCTTTAACTGGGGTCAAGGTTGGCGGCCTAGGGTTTTGCAGGCTAACTATTGGTAAATTTAAAACATCAGAGCGGGAATTTACAGCAGGAGAAGAGAAAAGCACATGTGGCCCAGATGGTCAGTTATTGAAACGAACCAAGATCTCTAAATTTAACAAAGGAACTTCAGGGAGCTGACCAGTTGCCTGGGGGCTGGTTCGTTGTGGGAATAAAGGAAGCGTTGTGGGAATAAAGGAAGCGTTACTCAACTTGGAGAGAATATCCGGCGGGGCCAGTCCTTGCTTGTGTAGTTTGTAAGGGGGTCAGGGCCACCAACGTGGGGCCAGGGGTCCTGGAGAGACCAGTGGCTTCGCAGGTTTGGGCCCCCAAGGCACAGACACCCACCCCCGCCGCACACCATGAGCTCCCGCAGAGCAAATGCAAGTTGACAAGTTGTCGAGTGAAGACAGTGAGCAGCCCTCCCCCACCCTGATGCGGGAGGATGAGCGTGGTGCTGGGTTTCTGGCAGAAACTCCTGCAGGCTGGGGTGGGTGAGGATGCAGCAGGGAGAGGGGAGGGGGCAGAAAGAGGCCACTGGGTGCACTGGCATGCCAACCAACTTTAACATGATTTTTATCACAGGAGCAGTATGTGCTTTTTGTAGAAAAACCAGAAGAGATTAAAAAAAAAAAGAAAGGCCCAAGAATGCCCACCTTCCAGAGACAAATGATCTGACATCTGTGTATCTGCCCCTACTCCTCCTGTACACACAATACACAGTTTTAAAAATAAAAATGAAATATAAGCAGTAGTAGGCAGAATAATGGCCCCAAAGATGGTCACGTCCTAATCCCCAAACCTGTCAATAGTTATCATAGACGGCAAAGGGGTCTCTGCAGATATGACAAAATTAAGAATCCTGAGATGGGGCTACTGTCCTTGATTACTTGGATAGGCCCAATGTAATCCTGAGGGTCCTTAAAAGAGAGGCAAAAGGGTCAAAATCAGAGAGGAAGTGACAATGGAAGCAGAGGTTGGAGTGGCTGCGCTTTGAAGATGAAGACAGGCAGCCTCTAGAAGCTAGAAAAGGC